TTCTGTGGAACGTACTGGGGAGCTTCCCCCTTCTCTAGTTCCTCAAGGTCAAGCAGGAGGGGGCCAGCAGTGGGGACTGGATTGCCCCAATCATGAGAACTTGACCTGGGCTTGGCTCTGCATGGGATGTCCCCATCTTCTGACCTCTGGCTGAAAATTTGCTGTTTCCTACAGAGGAAACAAGTCCTCGTCAGGTTGGCTGGCAGTTACATACTGGACACCAGAAGCACCTCCTTGGCAGTGTAGGTAGCAGTGATCACTTGGGGACGGAGCTATTGCACGCTTTGTTTACTTTTTTTGGTATTTTTTAGCTTGTCTACTATGAGCCTTTTTTTAATATTTATTTTTTAGTTTTAGGTGGACACAATATCTTTATTTTATTTATATGTGGTGCTGAGGATCGAACCCAGTGCCTTGTGCATGCTAGGCGAGCCCTCTACCACTGAGCCACAACCCCAGCCCCTACTGTGAGCCTTTTTTTACATTAAGAAATTTCTTAAACATCGTGAATGTTTCAAAACCAGCCAACAGAACAGGACTCCTTGATAGGAAGTAGTGTTTTCCTCCAGAGAGGCCACCAGGCCTCGCCCTACAGTGTGGAACACAGGAGCTACCCAGGCCTGTAGGGAGACGTGGACAGCTTTAGCTTTAGCTTGAACCTGGCTTCAGGGCTCTTGGGTTCTTTCCTTACTGGTTGCCCAGCTGGATTCACTCTTGCTTACGGAAGGCTGACAAGAACAAGGACAACAAGATGAGCTTCAAGGAGCTGCAGAACTTCCTGAAGGAGCTCAACATCCAGGTGGACGACAGCTATGCCCGGAAGATCTTCAGGGTGCGTCTGGGCCTATGGTGGTAGTGGGGTCCTAGGTCCCCATCTGTGGCCAGCTCTGAGTCCTGGCTTCCTGCTGTCCTGGCTTTGCAGGAATGTGACCACTCCCAGACAGACTCCCTGGAGGATGAGGAGATCGAGGCTTTCTACAAGATGCTGACCCAGCGGGAGGAGATCGACCGCGCCTTTGCTGAGGCTGCAGGCTCCGCGGAGACACTTTCGGTGGATCAGTTGGTGACCTTCCTGCAGCACCAGCAGCGGGAGGAGGCAGCAGGGCCAGCGCTGGCTCTCTCCCTCATCGAGCGCTATGAGCCCAATGAGACTGGTGAGGGCCTGGCAGTCCCAGGGCCACTCTGGACTGGGAGACACCTAAGGAGACTGCAGACAGAGAAGGGGACTAAAGGGCAGGGGTTCTCAGCCAGCCCCAGGGTGCTTGGTCAGTGCTTGCCTGACCCATGAAATCAGGCAGATGGGGGAGAGGACTCCAGTGTCACTGCCTCAGTTTTCCCCTTGATTCCTCCTTCAGAGGGCTTTGAGGACCTCCTCCCCCAAGAAATAGACAGGTGACTGGAGAAGCCAAAGCAATTCCTGTCCCACCTTTGAGATGTAACTGGGCAGAGAAAATGGAGACCTTTTCCAGAGGGCACTCCTGTCTAGGTACTCAGAGGGGATGAGACTCTGTCCTCAAGGGCCTCAGGGTTTCAGGACAGAGTCAGAGAAAGTGACAGAGCCTCACTCTGTGGTCACAAGTCTCTGGCTGTGAGCCTCAGACTTATCCTGCTTCCCAGAACTATGGAGGACCAGCTCAGGATGGGCAGGCGGAGGGAATAGAGGGTCCCTTTTCCAGACTGGTGGGAAGCCAGGAGGAGGTCTGGGGCAGCCACCTCTGACGGTCTCCTCCCTCCCAGCCAAGGCGCAGCGGCAGATGACCAAGGATGGCTTCCTCATGTACCTGCTGTCAGCTGACGGCAGCGCCTTCAGCCTGGCGCACCGGAGGGTCTACCAGGATATGAGCCAGCCACTCAGCCACTACCTGGTGTCCTCCTCACACAACACTTACCTGCTGGAGGACCAGCTCACAGGGCCCAGCAGTACCGAAGCCTACATCCGGTGAGGTCCAGGGAAGCCTTGTGGGTGGGAATCAGGAGGGGAACCTGGAACAGGACCTAGAGGGGTCCTAGCCACCACCCCTACCCTCAGGGCCCTGTGCAAAGGCTGCCGCTGCTTGGAGCTCGACTGCTGGGATGGGCCCAACCTCGAGCCAATCATCTACCATGGCTACACCTTCACGTCCAAGATCCTCTTGTGTGACGTGCTCAGGGCCATCCGGGACTACGCCTTCAAGGTGGATGCTGAGCTCCTGGGGGATGAGGAGGAGGGGCCTAGGGGTGGCCAGCCTGTCCTAACATGCCCTTGGGCCTCCAGGTGTCCCCTTACCCGGTCATCCTGTCCCTGGAGAACCACTGCAGCTTGGAGCAGCAGCGCGTGATGGCAAGACACCTGCGCACCATCCTGGGGCCCATGCTGCTGGACCGGCCACTCGATGGGGTCACCACTAGCCTGCCCTCCCCCGAGGTACGTGGTGGGGATGGCGGTGCCCAGAAGAGAGGGCAGGGACTGACTGGGAGGCCAGGGGGGTCCTGATGAGTTGCCCCTTCATCTCTAGCAATTGAAGGGCAAGATCCTGCTGAAGGGGAAGAAGCTTGGGGGGTTGCTGCCCCTGGGAGGGGAAAGCAGCCCCGAGGCCACGGTTGTGTCGGACGAAGATGAAGCTGCAGAGATGGAGGACGAGGCAGTGAGGAGCCGAGTGCAGCACAAGCCCAGGGTTCGAGAGGGAGCTGTGGGGTGGGAGGCCCTGGGGTACCTCCTTCCCCAGCCCCCTGGGACATTATCTCAGTTCTCTGGCTGCCATTCAGAACCTCTGCCCCCTCTCTCTGTCTTCCTCTGTCTCTCTGTGTGTCTGGGTTTCTGGCTCTCAGTGCCCACCCCACCCCAACCTCTGACTCTAACCCGGGCCTCCCCACGGCCCCCAGGAGGACAAGCTCAGGCTGGTGCAGGAGCTCTCCGACATGGTCATTTACTGCAAGAGTGTCCACTTTGGGGGCTTTTCCAGTTTTGGCACCTCCGGGCAGGCTTTCTATGAGATGGCGTCCTTCTCAGAGAACCGAGCCCTCCGAATGCTCCAAGAGTCAGGTGAGTCCCTCTGCAGGCAGAGGGTGCGGGCCATCTGTCTGACCATCTGGGCCAGCCAGGGCCAGGCCTGGCTGCTCGTGCTTAGGCCTGGAGTTGGTGCTGCCTGCTCCGTTACCAGAGAGGACTGGTGGGAGGGCCGTGGGTTCCCTGGGAGGCCTCCACTGCTGACTGAGCCACACCTCCCCTCAGGAAACAGCTTTGTCCGTCACAACGAGGGGCACCTGAGCAGGATCTACCCAGCCGGGTGGAGAACAGACTCCTCCAACTACAGCCCCGTGGAGATGTGGAACGGGGGCTGCCAGATTGGTATGGGCTGGCTGGGGTTGGAGGACACCTGGGGGAGGGTTTCAGTCCTGAGGCCATTCAAGGCTCAGAGCCTTGAATGCCCCACAGTGAGAGATCTGGGGACCCCTGCAGGGCAAGACGCAGGGGCTCATGGAACTGGTAAACTCTGGAAATATCTCCCCACTAGCATCTGGAATCCCATCATTAGCGTACTAGCCCTTTGAGTTCTGACACCAGAAGCATAATATAACCCATTAACATGGGGTCAGTATGCTGGGTCAGTTAGGGAGGAGAAGGCAGTGGGCATTGGAGTGGTATTGGGTCCTGGCTTCTTACTGTGCAACCCTAGGCCTCAGTGTACCCGAGGAGGCTGGCTCTAGGGCCCTGAGGTCAGCCCAGCCTGTGAGTGCTCTGTCCTGCTTGTAGTGGCCCTGAACTTCCAGACACCTGGGCCAGAGATGGACGTGTACCAGGGTCGCTTCCAGGACAATGGGGCCTGTGGGTATGTGCTGAAGCCTGCATTCCTGAGAGACCCCAACACCACCTTCAACTCACGCGCCCTGACTCAAGGGCCCTGGTGGTCCCGGAAGCAGCTCAGCATCAGGGTATGGACAGACCCAGGAGGGACCCAGTGCCCATGGACCTCCCCCACCCCCATCACTTCCATTCCTGAACTCTTCATCGTCCCCCACCTGTCCTCAGGTCATCTCTGGACAGCAGCTGCCAAAAGTCAACAAGAGTAAGAATTCAATTGTGGACCCCAAGGTGACAGTGGAGATCCATGGCGTGGGCCGAGACATGGCCAGTCGCCAGACTGCTGTAATCACCAATAACGGTAAGTCCTGGGCCTCAGCCGGGCCCAGCTCCCGGTTCTGCTGGTGTGCATGCGGTTGATACGGTGCCTGTCCCCCAGGTTTCAACCCGTGGTGGGACACGGAGTTTGAGTTTGAGGTGGTTGTGCCTGAGCTGGCGCTGGTCCGCTTTGTGGTGGAGGATTATGACGCTTCCTCCAAGAATGACTTCATCGGCCAGAGCACCATCCCCTGGAACAGCCTCAAGCAGGGTGAGTGTGTGGCGAGGGCAGGGGACAGCCTGGATGGGGTCTCTCTTGTGTAGGACTTGGATGTGCCATGGCACACCCTCCCTGGGTGACCAGAACTCTCCTTCCTGCCTGCCAGGGTACCGCCACGTCCACCTCCTATCTAAGAACGGAGACCAGCATCCATCAGCCACCCTCTTTGTGAAGATCTCCATCCGGGACTAGGCCTCTGGGGTCAGGTGGGGTCCACCCTGAGTCCTGAGTCCGTCAGGCCCTCTGTCCACACCTGGAAGCAGGGCTGGTGTGGCTGCTCCCAACCTCCACCGAGGAGCCAGAGGTCCCTGAATGGCCTTCAACGCTAACACACTGTCTGTGCTGCTGCCTCTCTGGGGTTCTAGGAGCTGCCCCAGGCCCTGGAACTGTCCTCATTTCCGTTAGCAACAACACTGCAGCCCTCTCCACCCTCTGGCCAATATTAGGTCAAGGGTTTTTATAAAAATCACAGTAAGACTAAGCCTTCTGGTCTCCCTTTCTGGGATATAAAATCCCCCGTGAAGGGCATGTCCCTTCCCCATGCTCCTGGGGGTGGTCTGGAGAGGGCAGCAAGAAGCACACCGAGGGATCTGGGTCTGAAGGCACACATACCACACCTGGTGCACACCACTGCCTTTTATTGGCAAAGGTGAGGGGGCCTGGGGGTGTGAGCAGAGCCCCCCGGACTCAGAAGAAGCCCAGCTTCTTTTTCTCCTGCTGCTGCTTCCACTTGGCCATGCCGTAGAACTCCTTCTTGGATTTCCCAAAGATGTCTTGGAAGTCAGCGTCTGAGAGATAGAACTGGGGGAGGGATGTAGGGGAGGTTGTCATGAGAGCCCAGAGTCCTGTCCTACCTAGAGATGTCATCAGGGCACTGCCACCCATCTGGGACATGCCTCCCAGCCCTGCACAATGGGCTGATGGTGTCCTGGGCTCCTCCAGCACAGCATTAGGTGTGGGGCAGTAAGTGGTCACCCACCTCCTTGCGGGTGGGGTCCACACCCTGTGGAAGGTCCTCAACGGCCTGGTACCTCAGCCGTTCAGGGGGCAGGCTCCCACTGTCGACCAAGCTGACACTGCTGCTGCTGTTGCTGGTGCTGATGCTGGTGCTGGCACTTCTGCCGCCTACCCTGGGCCCCAACTCCATCTCTGAGATGTCCTGGGTGTCTTTGATGGCTGGCAGGTCTGGAGGACCTGCTCTGCTCTCGCCTGGCCACTGGGATAGCTGGAAATTGTTGATTTCCTGTCCAGAGAGGGGAACTCACGCTGGGGAAGATTGGAAATAAGCACTCCTCGGGGAGGCGACATTGAACCCACTTGCCTTTTGCCCCCAGCTGCAACCCTGGCCACCTACCAGGCCCCTGCCCACTCTGGATTGTGCTATCCAAGCCTACACCACTGTGGGCAATGCCACGGTAGGGTTCCCAGTACTCACTGCTGTGATCCCAGAGATGGCAGATTCTGTTCCCAAGTGGGAGACCCCACTCTTCACCACCTCCTCATAGGACTGGTTGTTCTGGGGGCAAGAATGAGGTCAATTATTAGGGCTGGGCAGGATGAAGGGGCACCCCTGGGATAAGGCCAGTGAGAACACGGTCAGATCTCCCTCACACGTGTTGGAGGTCCCCAGCTAGACCAGCACCTCCTCCTTCAGTTTGCTCAGGGAGGTCCCGCTCCCCCCAAATGAGGATGGGGCTAGGGGTTTGGGGCCTCACTCACCGACCACATGTAGGGGTCCCAAGTGGAGAACCATCCTGTGAAAGTGGGCGGCTCGTGGCCTTGCTTGACCAGCACGATGGGCGTGGCCAGGCTTCTCCCTGCTGGATGGGTCCTCAGGTACTCCTGGCCCCAGGCCACCGCGTCCTTCCGCTCACTGGCGGCAGCACCAAGCCACAGGAATATCTGGGCCACAGAGGGGGCCTGGTCTGGGACATGTGGAGGGGCTACCTGGAGCCACACACCTCCTCCCGGCTTTCTGCCTATCTGATGACCTCAGAACCCCACCCACACAGCCCTGGCCAACCGGACACACCCAGCACGCTGCCACCCACACAACAGTGAACACAAGAAGGTCCGCATGCATTCATGCATTCATCCTACAGATATTTATTAAGCACCCACTGTATGCCAGGCACTGGGGAGTCAAAAATTTAAAAAATAGATAAAAATCCCTGACTTTTTTTTTTTATGAGGGAGCAAGTCACATGTATGTCTGAGGAGACAATGAAGAAGAAGCCACCAGTGCAAAGGCCCTGAAGTGACCATGCGCCTGGCATGTTGCAGGAACAGCAAGCAGAACCAGCAAGGGGTGGGTGGGAGGAAATCATGTCGGAGAGCTGGGGCTGGCCAGGTTCGGCGCAGCTGCTGAAAGGGCTCGTTTTTTTCTGAGGTGCATGCCCACAGTCTTGCCCCAACCCACATGCTGCCACAGACGTGGCCTACCACAGGCACAGTGATACAAAGGCACACAAGCCTCCCTTGTCATCCAGCCCGACAGCAAATCACAGCCACATATATTGCCATGCTCTGTTGTCCAACACATGGTGTGACAGTCACACATGATCAGCCACTTACACCACTTTGGAAAGTCACACAGAAACACAGTGGCACAGACACACAGAGTCACTCGGTTGCTCACACCCACCTCTGATCCTGTGGTTCCTTTCTATCTGCCACATATATATGTAGGCAAATGAGCATGCACACACACACACACACACACACGTACATGAGTCTCATGGTAGAGACCCCAAGGTCTGGCCAGTTCTAGTCAGTTACTTGACCCCACAGTCACTGACACATCAGTCTCCCACCCAACCGCATGTCCAAGTGCAATAGTCACACAGAATCACCCCACACGCCTGTGGTCAGTCCATCCACTGACAGTTACTCACTCCACCCTGACAGGTCCAGCCAAGGTGTGCCATCAGTTGGAGCTACGCACAGCATCATAAGATACTCAGGGTTACACACAACTACACACATGGTCCCGGTCAGACGAGACCCATAGAAGACTCAGTACTTTCACACAGTGACACAGACAGCCACATGATTGCACCATTAATGTCTTAGTCACTCATTCACAGCTTATGTGGAGTCATACCCAGTTAAACAAATACAGACACACCCGCATTCACACTCCAGCCAGGCAGGAGTGGCCGCTTACCTCCTGCCAGGTGTCCAGCAACATGATGTCATACTTGTCCAGATCCCCTTGACCGAAGAACACCACTTCTGAGAGGACCAGGCAGCCTTTCTGGCTGGAGCACTCAAACAGTCGTGGCTGGAAGCTGGCGGCCTCTTCCGGGAGCCTGGCCAGCACGAAGCATGGGGCACAGAGGTGCTGTACCTCTGCAGCCTGGGCCCTGCCCACCCTCAGCACACAGCACCCACCCCAGGGCCAGGAGGCAACTTCTCTGGGGTAGGAGACTGGGCCTTCCTCTTGGCTTCACCCACCCCATAATTCTCTCCAGGAGCACCCTGCTCTTCCCTGGGCTGCAACATTCCTTTCTGTCCATGGAGATCGCAGACTAGGTGATCTATCTGTCCCCAGCCAGCTGTGACACCAGCTGTCCCATGAATTTCCCTGGAATGGACACTGGGAAGGGTTTGACAGCACCCCCTCTGGGAAGGGAGAGTCCCCTAGGCTCATCCTGGGTGGAGTGGCCTCAGGCCCTGGGTCCGGGAAGGGAAGCTAGGCTGGGCTGGGTGAGGGGATGATCGTACTGAGCCCAGGAGACTCAGCAGGTGTGGTGCAAAAACAAAGCCCCACAGTCACACCAGCAAGGCCTGGAACTTAGCCACCTTTCCCCTTAAGGTCTAACTCTGCCCTTTCCTCCAACATATACCTCATTCAATTACCCAGGGGGGGCCAGAAGGGGAATGTTGAGGAACAGTGCCTTTGCCCAGGACAGTGACACTGCAGGGAGAGGATTAGGCCAGCAGAGGGCACCACTTCCCCTACGCTCCTGGAATCTTCTGATCCCAGTTACCCAGGCCTGGCGAATGAAGGGTGAGCTTTGTTCCTGAGCCTCTGGGGGGTAGATTTGAGAGTCCTCAGTCCTAGTCATCTCTCTAGCTCTCTGTGTGACCCTTGATTAGTCACCCACCCCCTATGGGCTTCAATTCCTCCTTGGGATAAGAACACTCTCCTCCCAATCCCGTTACCTCTTGCTGCTGGGGTAGGGCGCCCGGCCCCCCAGGGCCTCCCAGAAGTGGGGAGGCTCCTGACCCTCTAGCACCGTTTCCTTGTCATTCCCGGAAATGACAGTGACCACTGTCCGTGCCATCTCACGCTGGTCACCGTTACAGCCCTGGCAAGCATAAAGCTGGGTCAAGCCCCACAGGGGGCAGGCCTTGGCCTCCAGTCCTACCTCCCACTCACCCGGCCTGTGGGAAGTTGGGCCTGAGCCACAGGAGACCCAAGCTGATGGCAGGGCATGTGTGAGCAAGGAATCTATCTCCCTTCTTTCCCCTCTAAGACTCAGTTTTTCCGGCTGATCAGGGTCACATGTTCTGGATCCCCCTCTGCATCCAGAGTATGAATGGGGATTCCCAGGCTTGGGGGTGATTCATGGTTCAGGCTGAAGTTCATAGAAAACTCCAGCAAACCAGAGTAGGCCTTCCCCTTTTCCCAAGAGACTTGGGATGGGCTATGTCTTCTGCTTATGGCAGGAAGGAGGGGAGGGACCCTGGGCCAGGTCTGGCTCCAACCCATGGATTTGCACATCCACGTGTTGCTCTGTGACTTCCTCCAAGTTCCATCAGGAGTGCTGTGGCTCTTCACCCTCACCCCTAACCTCACCCCTCATTGGCCTATTTTGGGCCTGTCCCCAGGCACGAGTCAAGCAGTCAGTCCTATAGGTACCTTCCCGAACCAGAGGTAGCAGACACCAGCTGTGACTAGCAAGAAGACCTCACTGGAGTTGAGGGACGGGGCTCGGGCTGGCACCTCCATGGTCCTGGTGTCGTAGCCGTCAGTGCCTTGCACATGGAAGAGCCTGGGGACAGAGGCTGGCTGCCCCTTCCCGTGGTGCCCAGTGCTCCCCTAGAAGAGTGCTAGGTCTCAGGCTGAGGCAGGGGCTGGGGGGGGGCGTTGCCTCTCTGTCCCAGTAGGGACAAACTGCCTCAAGACTCAGGCCAACACTGTCTTCTGGACCCTCTGAATGTGGAGTGTGGGGATCCATCAGTCTAGGACAGGAAAGCAAGCCCTTTGTAAATGGACCCCTCACCCTTCTCTGCAGGGTCAGGGCACAATGCCCAGGCCTTGAAGGTGGAACATGGGTGCCGCAGTCCGGCTGCAGCGGCACATGGGGAGCAGTTCTACCCGGGTATGACATCACTGGGTCCCTTTTGACTCAGTTTCCTTGCCTGTGTTCCTGCTCCATGCTTATCTGTGGGACTAGGGGAAGAAACTCGAGTGGGGGTCCCCCTTGGGATTCCTGGGCCTTGGACAAGCACCAGGAAACCACGTGCTGGAATGCTGGACCCCAGACCTGAAGAGGTGTTTAGCAAGTTCATGCAAGGGCTACGGCCATGTCGAGGCCTGGGGAAGCTGCCCCTGCAGCAGCAGGGTGGGCCCTACCTGGAAGATCACCAGCTGGCCTTGGAAGATGGCAAGGAAGTGGGGAGGCTCACTGCCCATTGTCACATGCTCCTGCACCAGAGCTCCCTGGTACAGGTGGTCCAGCTCCTCAGCATTAGAGTGCAGGGCTTTGGTCTCTTCTGCTGTGGCCTGGTGGCCCTGTGGGGTTTGGGGAGACAGTGATGGCCCAAGGCAGCTCTCACATTTCCTTCTCTGGCTCTAGTTCTTAGACTTTAAGGTGTGCACCACCCGCCTCCAGCCGGTGCACCTGCCATAAGTACAAGATGTACTGGATGCGGCCCAGTTTCTGGTATGTGTAGAGGATGAGGTAGCAGTTGCTTGAGCACAACTGTCCATGATGCTTGGAATCCACGGGCTGCCTGCCTGAGTCCTGGATGCACCACATCTGAGGAGAAGGGAACCAGTGGGCAAAGGTAGCTCCTCTACCTGAACCAGCCTGCCTATCCACACCTACCCAGAAAGCTCTCTTTCATTCCTCATCTTGTGTAGGTAAGGAGCTCACCCCAGCTCTGCACCCTCCCCACGCTCTGTGCTGAATCTACAGGTGACCCTTTTCCCCCATGAACCCCTGGAACCCATCACACCTGAGCTGATCTGCTCTCAGCCAAGACTGAGTTTGCATGTGGTACCTAAGTAAACGAGTGGCAAGGACTACAAAAGATGTGACATGGACCACCCTGCCCCACCCTCACCCCAAGTCCTAGCCCCTCCAGCCACAGCCCTGGTCAGGGGCAGACAGGACCTCACACAGACACTGTTCAGGCCAGGTCAGCAGAAGTCAGGCCTCGAAACATTAGGGAACATGCCCTTTTGGCTTTCAAGTGTCATTAAAACAACAACAACAACAACAAAGCCTGCTCGAAATCTGAGAGGAAAACACTTCCTCACATTTGTGAGTGTTCCTCCAAGTAGCCACCCTTTGGAGCCAGGTAGACAGACCCTGGTCAAATTGCAGTTCTGAGTGGTTAGCAGTGAGGCCCTCAAAGCTTTAGATTTTCCCACCTGCAAATTGGGGATCCCAGCACCTACTTCACTTTGACTCTACAGGCCAGGAAACAACGTCTGGGCATCCTTTACCCACACAAAGCCCAAAAGCTTCTCTGGGGGAACTTTTCCAGAACCCTGCCTTTTGCAGAAGATGCTCATCTGGGCCTCACACCACCCAAGAGTGGCACTTACCTGGCAACCAGGCCTCCCATCTCAGGCCTCTCTGCCTGCTGCCCACTGCCTCCTCTCCCTGTGCTTGGAGCCTGGGTCTCCTTCCCTCGCTCCCTTGCCTACCTACGGGCTTCCCTGCCTTGCTCTCTCCCTGCGGCCCCCTCTGTCTCTCACAGTGCACCCCTTTTCCCCACCTACTTTTTCCTTGCCCTGAACCCCCAACTCTCCCTACTCGTCCTGCACCCATCTCTTCCTCCTCTCGCAGTCTCCTCCCCACTCCCTGCCTTTCCCAGTCTCCTTACCCACCCCGCATCCCATCTTCCCCTCTTGGTGCTTCTCCTCCTCCTCTCTTTGTCTCCCACCACTCACTTCCTCTGCCCATCTCTATTAGGGCAAATGTAGGAGGCATCTTGTATTCCTCTGACCTCAACCTTCCTCAAGAACTAGGACCCCTCACCAGTGGTCCTGTTTCTGTAATCTCACAGCATCCCCACATCAGCCTTGGGACCAGATGGGACCAATTTCTGCCCTCACTTTATAGATTTAACAATGGAGGCCCAAAGGATACCAAGGCCTCGAGGGTCAGCCAGCAGATCAATGTGCAGTCGTGTGCTGCATGGAGCCTGGAAGTGGCCTTCAACACCTGTGGCTCCTAGCACACTGGTCTGAGACCAGTGAGTGGTTCACAGTTGATGACTGTGTAGGGGGCTGAGTATAGGGGGCTGAGATAGATTATGTGTGGCTGTGCATCTGTGTTGGTGTTGACCATTGTGTGACTGCCGTCACGTGTGATACAGAGTCATGCAATTTCTTATTTGCACTTGTGCAAACTATGATGACGCAATTACAAAGTATGAGTACCTTTGTCTGTATTGTCATATGTATGGGCTTGTCAAACATATAACTATGTATGATTAGGCTTGACTGCATCAGTCAGCTGTCAGGCAGTGTTTGTGTATGTGCACGTGTTACTGGTTGTCCCCAGTTGTGTGTGGATGTGCATCCGGGTGTCCTAGGGTCACCTTAGATAGCACCTGTATGGTTTACCAGTGGGCAAAGCATAGTCAGTTAAATCAAGGCCCCTCACCTCCACCTTCCCAGAGCCGTCGTCCACCATCCTGAGCTGGGCCGCTAGCTCTGGCTGGCTGTGCAGCTTGCCCACGTCCAGCTTTACCTGAGTGGATCTACCTGAAGATGAGACAGGGGATGTCAACGGAGCTTTCGGCTCAGGTCCCAGCCTCCACCAGCCCGGCCCCGCCCACTCTTCCCGGTCCCTCCTAGACTCCAGGGCCCTCCCTGGCCAGTCCTGACGCTCCGGCCACGCCCCTTCACTCTTAGTGCTGAGTTCTGTCCAGCACCCCTCAGGCCACGCCCGCTCCGTCTCTCCCCTCACGTCGAACCACCTGTTCCTGCCAGGCCCCGCCCCCTCCCGGCAGGCCCCGCCCCTCCAGCCCCGTCTCCCCTGCGCACCTGTGCGGTCCAGCTTTTTCCTGCCCAGCTCGTGAGTCCACGTCCGGAAGAGCTGCTTGAACGCCGCGGACTCGGCGCCGTCGTTCACCACCTCCACGTTGGTGTAGGTCGGGTAGCCCTTGGCCTGGATAAAGCCCTGGGGCGGGGACTCGGTCAGGCCTGCGGGCTGCGGGCTTCGGGCTTCCATTGCGCTCCACCTCCCGGGGGCCGCCCCCCACTACAGCGGCAACAGCAGCTCAGCTCAGAGACGCGTTAATTAACAAGTTTGTGACCCATTTAACAAGCCGACACTGTCATTACCGACTTCTCTGAGGTCCCTGTGGGCAGACAGAGGTCCCCAAGTCCCAGCCTAGAGAAGAGCTGGCCATGACAATTCATGCAGACCCAGGCCAAACCACTTCTACCCCCCACCCCAGAAAGGAGGGGACACCCAGTGCAGAAGGCTCCCAGACTATATATATATATTACATATATATTATTAGATATATTATATATATATATTACATATAATATTATATATATTACATATATATATATATATATATATATATATATATATATATATATGAAATCAATCAGGGTAGGGTGCATCCACTTTCTGGCTCCAGGTTAGGGTTTCCTCTCCTTTGGGACCCCAGGATGTGGATATTTCCCAACTCGTTGGGAAATATGACAGTGTCGGCTTGTTAAATGGGTCACAGACTTGCTAATTAATGCTCTCAGAGCTGAGCTGCTTTTGCCTTTTCAAAGTTCCCCCTCCCTTAGATCCCCAGGAAGGGGAACCCCCTGCCAGATTTCAGGGCCGGTCCCCTCCCTAATCAGACCCCAGAGCTGTGCTGTGTCTCTCAGACAGGGACCCAGGGCCTCACCACAGCCCTGCTGAAGGCAGCCTTTTTCTCCTCGACGTTGGACATATGTCCCTGCCATAAGTAGATCTTAAAGCCACCCTGGTCCAGGATGTAGCAATCCTAGGAGCCAGGACAGGTCTGGTCAGTAGGTGGTCCAGACAGCTGGACTTGTGGAGTAGAGATGAATCAAGGGGCTGGGGGCTTTCCTCACCTCCTCCTGCAGCAGGTCCTGGGTTAGGGGGCGGGTTGCCAATTCCTGTATCACCAAGTCCTTGCCTTTTTCATAGACACTGGGGGACAGGCATCCAGGTTATGGGCAGCCCAGTCCCTCCTTGGCCTGGCTTTACCCTACCCCTGTTTAGAACTTCTACTAAAGGCATGGGTGCTGGAGGGAGTTGTGGCCTTGCGGTAGAGCCTTACACAGCTCCTTGACCTTCATGGGGCCTCATTCCCTCATCTGCACAAAGGTTTCCCAGTAGGGTTGCCACACATCATTTGAGAGTATAGGATAGACCCAAGGTCCCACATGCCAGGTCCCAGAAATCCATCTGCTTTTACTGGAGGGCTTTCTAGAGTTGCTGTGCTATTGTAGTAATGCTGGACAACCAGTCCTGGACTGTTCTGCCCACCCTGTCCTCCCTCAATTCTGCTCACTGGTAGAGGCGGACATTGGCCTTCTGCAGCTGGTTAATACTCTTGGTGGGCATGGCTGCAGGCAGATTGCCCACTCTGCAACCCAGCACAGCCTCCATGATATGCGTGGGGTCAGTGACTTCAACTCCGTCATCCACTATGCCAATCTGTGCACGACCACCACGTTCCCTGTCCCGGATGCTGCAGGTCAGAACCAGGCCCTGTGGAGAGGAAATGGCAGTCAGGCTTCCCAGGTGTGCCCTCATTCTGGCAGCCCAGCTCAGATATTTCCTGTCACTGCTCAGCTCCCAGAGGCAGGGATGGAGGGAAGGGAAAGCTGTTGTCTCCTCCCTCTGGCATCTGGGGGGCTATCACCAGTGCAGGGGCTGAACTCAGCTTGTGCCTAGTAGGTGCTTCTCAGATTGAGGTGGAGAGTTCAGCCTACTTCTTGGGGTAGACAGAGGATAGAAACCTGTAGGACCAAGCCCTGCACCCCCAGTTCCAAGGGCAGACACTGACCCGAGACTTCTCAGAAATGCTGGTCTTGGACCCATTCCACTGTATCATCACCATGCCCAGGTCCAGCAGGAAGATGTCTCCTTTATTAAAGCTGTTCCAAGACAGCTCCACCTGCCAGGGTCAGGAGGAACAGGGAGGGAAAAAAAGTATGTCATACCAGCAGCACCCAGCCAGAAGGGAGCATAGCTAGAGTGTGTCACTTAGACACATGAAGCCCTGTGACTGTAATACCACCTATCACGATGTGCAGGCATGAATCTATGTAATCAAAAGTGACCTGGAGGGCAGCTCTCTGTGTCTGTGTACATCTCTAAGCATGCGTGCTTGTAGACAATGCTATATCCACAGGGCGAACATGACTAAGCATGACACTTTTCATTCAAAGTATGTTTAAAGCTGCACATGTGTATACAGGTAGGATGTATGCATTTATCTGTGTGTACATGTGTGGGAGTATATCAAATATGAACAAGTTTGTGTGCTCATGGTGACAGTGCACATGTGCTTGTGTGGGGACAGTGTGTATCTATGGATAGTTATCATCCAAATGGAAACACTTTTGAGGATAAAAGAGGGCACTCTAAATAATTATGCCAGGATAATAGTGAAACTTAATACTGTATGGTGTCCCAGCATGACCAGGGATGTATGGTCACTGGATCTGTGGGTGACAGTGCAGAGCCTGTGGAGGGCTGCCACATACTATGCAGACTGAAGGACCTTGGTTCACACTGTTGACATTGTACTCCTGAGTGATCACTACACCACATTCCGGCCTGATGGCAGTATAATAACTTGATCTAACAAGATCAGTATCTTCCTTAAATTTCTTGACATCTGGAAGCAAGGGGTTCTCTGTGCTGATTTGCACATGAATATCATATGGACTAGAGTATCTCTGAGGGTGTAAGGAGAGACAGTGTGGGTGCCTGTGGGTGACAGTGACAGTATAGTGTATGTGAGAGAGCCTGAGACTCTGCACTCCTTCACAAATGTGCCACCTCCCATTGTGCTGCTTACAAGGACCAGATGCACCATGTTATCTGCCTCACCTGCCCAAATTCCTAACACGTCCATGAGACAGGTGAGGAAGAGGGTCCAGGGAGCCGTGGCAGAGGTGGGGCTGGAAGACTGGCTCTGCCTTCTCTTCTTATTCGAGACAGGCCTCTGGGAATGCTGACAGCTTATCTCCACCCCCACATTCTCTGCCAACTTCCACACTTCCTTATACTTCAGTATACTCAGTCCAAGCTGAGTCCAGAGGTCAAGTGCATTCCTGGTGACCCTCACCTCGGTGGCAGACACGTGCTTCCTCGCTTTGATGTGCAGCAGTCGCTGGATGTTGTACATGTTGGTCTCCACATGCTTGACGTCAGAGGCTAGGCCCCCCTTCCTGTAGCTGAGAAGGGAACGGGTCTCACTTAGAAATGCACACTGCCATGTGTAGGAATGAGTGAAAAAGTGAGCACATGCACATGTGCATAGGGGATGTCATGTGCCTGTTCCGTGCATGTTAGAGTAAACTTGAGGCATGAATGTGTGTTTTATCCATGTGTAGAGATGTGGTCATGTGTGCATCTATGTATATGTGTATTCATTTGGAGGTTCAGTGTATATCTATTTACCCATGTAAGTCTGGATGGGAGTACGTGGAAATGGGTAACGACATAGATATGTTCAGGAGGACATGACTATTTACACATGGGGGGTGTGCCCATCTACAGGTGGACATGCACAGGGGGTTGTATGTGTTTCTGCATATGCATGTATACTTGTGTGCATGTGTTCATGTATATACTACATGAACAGTAGGCCCAACTGTATGAAGCAGACATGGTCAGATATTGACAAGTTCCTATGTTCAACCTAAATATATTACAATTATTAATTTAAAAAACATTAAAGTAATTTATAGCAAAAGACATTTCTTTACATATATATGTATACACATATATGTGTATATATGTGTGTGTGTGTGTATATATATATATATATATATATATATATATATATATATATATATTTAGTTGTAGATGGACATAATACTTTATTTTATTTCTTTATTTTTATGGGATGCTGAGGCTCAAACCCAGTGCCTCACTCATGCTAGGCCAGCACTCTACCACTGAGTCACAACCCCAGCACCCCCCAAAAGACATTTCTACCAGCACAGCAACATAGAAGAAAACTCAAAACAATGTTGGTGTCTACTCCTAGGTATATACCCCAGAGAAATAAAAACATTTGTCCACACAAAAACTTGTATACAAATGATCATGGTGGAAACAGCCCAAATGTCCATTAAGTGAATAAATAAAATATGGCATATTCAAACAATGCAATAGCATTTGGTAACAAAAATAAATTATTAATAATGCCTGATACAACATGGATGAACCTTGAAAACAGCATGCTAATTGAAAAAAGCCTGTTATGAAGGACCTCTTGTTGTAAGGGTGATAAAAATGTTCTCAAACTGCTCATGGTGCTGGTTGGACAAGCCTGTGAAAATCACTGAATGGCATATTGAAATGGGTGCATGGTATGGTATGTGGGTCGTATCTCAACAAAGTGTGCTCTCTCTCTCATACACACACTCTCTCTCACACACACAAATGCACGTACACATACACACATGCACACACACATTCCATTTAGCAAATGGGGGTAGTCATCCCAAGGCAGCCTGAACATTGGATTCACCAGCGGGGCTCCCAGTCCCAGTTCCTCCCTACTCTGCCCTGCACTCACATGACTCCCGGATGGAAGTAGCTGTGGAAACACTCGGACTCATGGCCCTGCACTTCCCGATGTTGCACTGTCCGGTCCCCCAGCTCCTCTTGCAGGTGCTGCACAAAGGTGCTTGCAGCGCCCTGAGCCTCTGTGCTTGCCTCCTTCCCGATCCAGTAGTGCAGGTCGCTGGATGCTTCCTGTGTGGCCTTTTTGCTCTGGGGGACCTAGGGTCCATGTGTTTGTGAATGTGGGGGTGGGCAGGCAGAGGAGCAGGAGCAGGGAGGAGTCCAGGCATCAAGGCCCAGGTGGAAAACTTAGGTAAAGGGTGTACTGAGGGCCGTGGAGGAGATGGTGGGCAGATGCTCTATGGACAGATCGTGAAGGGGCAGCAGGGGCTAAGAGGGATCAGGGCAGCAGCCCCCCCTTGGGGGAGGTGATTCTGGGGCTCTCAGCTTGCCTCTTTCTAGGGCAGAGATGGTGTCTGCACCTTGGAGTCTCCAGTGCTGGGCCATGTCACCCTCTGTCCCAAACACAATCCCCATGTGACTCACATGGAGGATGATATAGCAGTGTTTCTCAAAGAAGTTCCCGTAAGCCTTCTCAGGTACTGGCACCATCTTTAGGTTCTGGGAGAAAAAGGTGCCATGTGACCACTCAGAGACCTCCCTCCACCTACAAACTCCACCTCCTGTGTAGGGGAGAGAGCTCTGGGTTGGGGGCGGGAGGAGCCTGGTTTCTGAAACCCCACACCTTCCATGTCACCATCTGTGCCATGTGTTAGACCCCTTACCTCGATGATCCATATGTGGAGGTCTCTGTGGCTGTCGATGGCTGGGAGGCCCTTGTTATTGTTCATCCTAAACCAAGCAGAAAAGAGAGAGGACACAGGGAACAAGAGCCAGAGTTCTCAAGTGGTAGGTCCACCTTCTGGCCACCTGTTCTCCGGGCTCCAAACAAGAATTCTTCCCACCTACAGCTCTCCAAAGCACCTTCGTCATGAAGTGTGACTTTCATTAGGAGGGCTCTGTAAACACACAGGCATCAGAAAACCAGGACAGGCACTGTAGACCAGATACGGAGACTTTGCAAACAGAGACCTGGGTGTGCTCTTAGAACAGGGCTGAGCTCTCTGGGCAGGGGCAGGCTTTGAAGCCAGCAACCGCTGCAAATAGGGAGTTAGAAACAGACTATGCAGACAGATGCAGGATCTGCTTTCTGGGGCACTTGCTGCAGAGAATGGTAGGTTCTACAATCAGGCAAAAGCTCTGCCAGTAGGAACAGATTCAACAGGCGGGGACAGACGGCCAACAGGGACAGGCTCTTGAAATAGAACTCAATCCTGTAGACAAAGACAGGCTCCGCACACACAATCGAGCTACAAATAGACACAGGTTTTCCAGGCAAAGTTAGGATCAGGCTATGCCAACAGCAGGGACCTACACGGTGACAGGCTCTGAGGACAGAAAAAGGCTTGCAAACAGGTGAAGGCTTTGCAAGCAGGTACAGTTTCCTCAGACTGAAGAAAGGGTTGCAAAGTCTCCGGTTCTCTTGATGGAAATGATGGTGTGTGTGTGTGCAAGGACGGCCTGTGCAGCAGACACAGGCACATCCCAGGACAATTGAGACAGGCTGCGCAAACCAGCAATGACTGTGAACACTGACAAAGGCTTTACAAACAGTTATGGGTGTTGCAGGCATGTGGGAGCTTTGCAAACTGGGAAAGGCTCTGCCAACGTGCATGGGGACAAGCCTCAAGACAGGGACTCTTTGTATAAAGGACAGACTCTGCAGACATGGACAAGTTCATAGATGGGCAAGGCTCTGCAAACAGGTGTCCCATTTTTGGCCAGAGAAAGGCCTCGCAGATGGAGGCAGGCTCTGTTTGGCATGAGCGTGCTCTGTATGCAGGGTAGCCTCTGCAAACAGACTCAATTCCTACTTACAGGGAGATGGGAATAGGCCAGGAAAATAATCATGAGCTCTAAAAAGAGATCAGGCTCTGAAAAAAGACTCAGGCCCTGTAAACAGAAAATCCAGAGACGTGATTTGCAGATAAGAGATTTTACAAGCCAACACAGGGTCTTCAGACAGACAGGTTCTATAAACAGTGGTGGTTCCTCCAGAGAAGGAGGAGCTGCCGAAGGAGTGGCAGGAGTCAACTTTGTGTGCCAGCACATCTTCTCCACATGTAGGCAAGACTGAAGCAGGGCTGGGTTCTGTGGAGGGCCCTAAGCCCTGTGCCCTGCAAATGGGTTGGGCTTTACAGAAGAAGATCAGTTTTGAGACAGGTAAATGTTCTGTAAATAGGGAAAGGGTCTCTAACAGGTACACATGGAAATAGGAATAGAGTTTTGCAGATAAAGGCTCTGAAGATAGGGGTGTGCTTTGCAGAAAGACACTTATGCTCCCAGACAGACAGAGCCCTCCCACCCCCCAGCAGGGTAAACTTCATCAGAAAAAATCCTACAAGAAGACAGTTTCTACCCAGGGAAATTCAGATAGGCTGGGCAAACAGGCACAAGTCCTGACAAATGCCAAAGATGCTACCCATAGACCACAGAGAGAACCCAGGCCCGAGATAGAAAGAGCTCCTGTCATTAGGGACACAGTCTGAGGTAGAGACACTCACGTGGAAGGAACTGTTTCTGCTAAGGGGGACAGGTGCTGCTTGAACAGACAAAGCTTTGCAAACAGGGGCAGTGTCTTTATGTAGAAAAATGTGTCCCAGACAAAGGCACCAGACAAGTTCTGCAGACAGGGATGAGCTGAGCATGCACAAAAGCTTCTGCAGGGAAAGCAAATCTAATGCCCAGGGAAACTGGGACCCACTGTTGAAAGAGCCCCGGAGTCTGAAAACAGAGGCTTTGGGCAAAACCAGGCTCTGCAGAGAGACAAAGTTCTATAAATCCAAGACAGAGTGCACACAAGAACTGTCTCTGAGGACTGTGACAGAGTGCAGCAAGTGACAAGGTCAGCTGGCCTGAGCATTGGTCAAATGAGGCATAAGCACTCTTGACAGATTCTTGAAACTGGGCTGACCTCTAACACAGAGACTCTGCAAACTGACCTGGGTCACTTAGGTTTGGACTCTATGGTTCTGAGTGTGCAGAGGAGGGAGACAAACATGAGGTATTGGAGGAAGGCAGGCTCTCTGTTCTGTTGATTTTCTTACATCTCAGCAGATTGCCATCGACCCCTGGGGCTCCCCTGCACAACTCCTTCAGAAATGTGTGTGTGAGGTTTGGTCATTCTTTCCTGCACGGAAGTCTTTGTGCATTTAACTTAAACCCTGCCAGCTGCAGCTTTCCCTCCTTGCTGCTGCTTTGCTGAATAGACACCCAATCACTTCTTTCTGAGTCTCTCCCTTGGGCCCCTGGTGTGATAGTGACTCTGCTACTCTGGCCCCTGCACTCCTCCCTGGCAGAGCGAGGTGAGCGAGGGCAGAGGAGAAACACAGAGTTGTAGAATCAGAGGCACAGAGCTACTGGCAGAGCGGCTCTTACTCTGCTGTGGTGTCCAGGGCCCCCGAGGGCCACTCAGGCCCTGGTGTGCTCACAGTGCACTGTGTAAGGTGGTCGTGGGAAGGGAGATGGGGATTGCCCAGGGCTGAGTCAGTTAGCAGTCAGCCAGGAGGTTAGAGCTGTGTTCATCACACATGCAGCCCCTCCTAGCACCCCATGGAAACCATGCATGATGTTGGCTTTGGCCTCCCACACAGGAGCCGAAGATTCCTGAAGGCAGGGGCTTGTCCTCTTATGTACCACAGAATCCCAGCAGGTGCCCAGCAGATGGGAGGTAAATGAATGAAGTGTGTTGCTAGTTGTGACTGAGTGAACGTGGATGCAGAAGAGAGTCACCTGTACATCTAACTGTCCCTAGAAGTCCCTAACCTGTCATCTAGAACTGTTGTAGGTGATGGCCTGTTGGTGTGACAATGACATGTGTGACAGACAGACACGATGGCCATGAAATGGTGATTTTGAGCAACTGAAAATGTGACACTATTGTACATAGTTACGTGCAATGGTGACCTGCAGCAGGACTCTGAGTGACAGGCAGAAATAGTGATCAGTGTCAGTGACCAGGGACCTAAGCAAGCAGTAAGCAGAAGTCCAGGACCTACGGGATGTAGTTCTCCTAATAGTGTGGCAGCCTTGGAGGACAGAAAGGCTACATGTGAGACAGGAAAGATAGACAAGCAGCCAGAAGATTGGGACTCGGCTGGTTTCACGGGGGCAGGGGGCAGCATTACCCCCAGGGTGGCTGGGAGGATGCCCAATGTGGAGTTTAGCCGGGGGAGCCAGACTCTCAGGCTGCCAGGGCTGAGGCCCCAACCCAGGTCACCAGTGTTCACCATCTTTCAACTGGTTTCTGGGGGAGATAGGAGGAAGGGATGCTTAAAAAGTGGGGAGTTCCCTCTCTCCCCAATACCCTCTTCTTTCATCCAGGCTGTCTCTTTCTCCTCAGGGGACGGCTCCCTCCCCAGGGCAAGGTCCCCAGTCCCACAAGACCCCCACTCGTGTATTTTACCTCTCCCTGTACGACTCCTTTCTACCACATCCTGTGGTTGGGACCCCCCCCCTCCACCCCCATGTCCTCTCCTCTTTCCAGGAAGCTCCCTTCTCTTCCTGGGGTGCCCCTCTACTCAGGGCCTTTCCTCCTTTCCCAAGGTGCCCTCTGCCCCCAGCCCCTCCCTGCTGGCCTCCTCTTCTCTGCCCTGGGTCACCCACCCCCACTCCCTTCCTCCTCCAGACTCTCCCTTCTCCCTCACAGTGCCCCCTCCTTTCCCTGACTTCCCCTTTCTCCCTCCAGGCGCCCCTCCCTCCACCAGTGCCCTTTTCTCTCCCCCAGGTGCGTCCTTCCTTCCAGACTCAGGGGTGACTTCAAGTTCCAGGAAGGGGGAGGGGCACTGCTTGCTGGGGGAGGACAGGGGAGCCTGGCCAGGGGGAGGGGAGGGGTCTTAGGCAAACCGATTATGGGTGTCAGAGACCCCACTCACCCACAGAATCTGCCGCTTTCCTCCCACTGGACTGCCTGGCCACAGTCGCCCTGCCCCCTGGGTGATCTCACCTGCTGGGCTGGTGGCCGCTCCCTCAGTTCTGCTGGCCTCTGCTCTGGGACTCCATGCCCTCCACCTGGGCTAGCAGCAACCCCTCTCCACCCGGTCGGTGCCCCTCTGCCCAGGCCTACCTGCTGGAAATGCTCCCACCTTCTCCCTGCCTGTGGGCAGTGCTAGTCTGGCAAGGGGCCAGGCTCTGCCCACTGCCCCACCTCCCCCACTGTAACTCAATCCCAGCTCCCGCCCTGCAGGACACACCCGACCACTCAGTACTCAGAGGGCTGGGCATTCAAACTTAATCAGTTAGTCAGTCCACAAATATTGACTGAGTTGTCTGGGAGCCAACCCTCTCCCCATGGCCTGGCAGACTCACCTCCTGGGTACCAGTGGCCTGAGAAAGTAGGGGAATGGAGACCTAGACCTAGACCTCAGAGCTAGGCTGAGAGGTGGAATATACTGTGATTTCCTTCTCTGGAGCCCAGATGGGCTCCTCTTGGGCCAGGACACTGAAGCAAACTTTAGAAGGAAATAGAACTAAGGCTGGGAGTGGTGGGTTAGGTTCTGTGAGATCCAGGTCACTGCGGGAGATGGGGAAGGTGGCCACAGCTCCCTCTAGGTATCTCTGCTCTCTCCACCTCCATCTCTGAATTTGGGCTGGCTGCCCGGCACAGCCCTCCCCAGGGAATCTGATACCCATCGTGGGAGAGGCCATTCCAGCCCTTGCAGAGAAGTCGGTTCTCTCATACCTCAGGCCACACCTCCCCTGCTTTCCCACTGATTGTGGGGTGCAGGAGGTGCTGGAAATAGTGCCTTCCAGAAACTCCTAAGGCACAACCTACCCTTAACCTTAGGCTACAGGCCTCAGTCCCAGCCAAGGCCTTGCCAGTGTAGGCAGCCCCTTCAAGGACATGCACTAAACCCTGTGCTCTGGCCCCAAGACAGGTTTCCTGTGCCTACTCTTCATCCTACTAAGGTTCCTGTCATAGTGGTGAGGGGATCCAGGAACTCTGGGCCAGTCTGTGCCTAGTAGGACCACATCCAGAGCAGGCCTGTGTTTAACAAATGCAGTATCCCTGGGTCCCTATGTGTGAAGGATGCCTATGCCACAGGGTGGTCCCTCTTTCTCAGTGTGTCTGTTTAATACCCACATGTGACAATATGCCTGTCTGTCCCTGTACCTGACAGTGAGTTTTTGGCCCCATCTGTCCATACCTGACTGCCTGTCCCTGTGCCCAGCAAAATTCTGTGTCCTCACTCTTCCCCACTTCCTTGTCTCCTGATTCCTCCTTGATACTCTATTGGTCTCTGTTCCCACATTCCCTGGAAGTGACTTTTTCCTAGATCACCAGTGGTGGCTGGTCCTGTCACCATCGCCCCCTCCCTCTCATTCCATCTCTCTCCTTTGGGCTTCTAAATGTCAGGGGGCACAGAGCTCAAGCTGTAGCTCCTGTCTCTTTCTAGCTGCAGTCCCCAGGTGGTAAATACCATGGCAACACTGGTGCCTCTCCTCTCCCCCTCCTACTCCTCTCCCCTACCCTCTTCTCAGCCTCTGTCCAGTCACATCTCTTGGGCACACCCAATCTGGCACATATACCCCAGGCCTCTCAGACCTACCTTCACTGAGCCCAAGGTACGTGTTCGATGGACATCCAAAGGGTTGTTCAGCCCCAAACCTGGAGCTGTCCCAGGGTTCTTTTCCCTCACATTCACCCATAGGGCAGCCCCTGGACCGTCGGTAGCTGGTTCTGCACGGATCCTGGCCAGCCCTCTCCCGACTCCGACCCTGTTCCAGGAGCCAGCCTCCACCAATAGGTAGCATGAGCTGCCCCCTCTGTCTCTGTCCCCCCCTGGTATGATTTTCATTGTCTCACAGTAGCCAGGGGGATGTTTTTTTCCAAAATTATAAAAATTATGGTAAAATAAGGGGCTGGGATTGTGGCTCAGTGGTAGAGCGCTCGCCTAGCATGGGCGGGACCCGTGTTTGATCCTCAGAACCACATAAAAATAAAGGCATTGTGTTGTGTCCATCTACACCTAAAAAATAAGTATTAAAAAATTATGGTAAAATAAGTCATTCCTTGGTATCCACAGAAAGCTTGCTTCTGGATTCAATGGGAATACCATAACCTGTGGAGGCTCAAAACCCTTAGGTAAAATGGAGTCATAGCTGCCCATAACCTGCACAGTCTTCCCATGTACTTTCAGTGTCTCTAGACTACTTATACCTAATGTAATGTCAACATCACGGAAACACTTGTTATCCTATATGGTTTACAGAATAATAACAAGAAAAAAGCCTTTACTAGTTCAGTTCAAATTTTTTTTTTTGTCAATCATTTTCTATCCAGGGTTGGTTGACTCCCTAGATTGTGGAATCCATGGGCATGGACAGCCAAATGTGTGCTTAGTAAATGATTGTTGCCATATTCCTGTGGTTTGTGTGGCCCAGTGTGTGCGTTCGTGTGCATGCGTGTGCGTGCCTGCACTTTGTGGGGCTCCAGCCTGCAGCAAGGCTACAGTGGAGTCTTCCCTGCAGTCGGGCTCCTGTCCCTGCCCTGGCACCTCCTGGCCGAGTGACTTTGGAGACATTTCTCAGACTCTTTGAGCTATTTCCTCCTCTGAGAGGCCACAGAGATGTAACCACTGCAAACTCCATTCTGGGCAGGACATCCCACCTTGCATAGTCCCAGCAGCTTAAGGAAGGCACTAGGACCTCTCCAAGTCCCCTCCCCTCAGAATTATCTGGACCCTGGGACCCAGGGGACACCGCCTGGGCAGACCTACCCCATCCCAGAATCACATCAGTAGACCACCTGTGATCCCAGCCCAAGAGAGATAGCAGGAGGGCAAAGGGCCTGGTCTTTTGTGTCTGCCCTGAATAATCTCTGTCTCCATCACACCTTGGCACAGAGGGGAAAACTGAGACTCAGAGTAGGCTCACAGGCAGAACGAGAGGGACGGGGGCCAGCCTCTCCCTTTTCCCTTTCCCAGAGGAAGAAGAGGGTGCTACCACCCCTCCCTCTATTGCTCACCGTCTCATGGTCATCCTCCCCTATCCCAACCTCCCCTATGGAAATGAACTGGCGCTGAGTACCTAGTCTCACAACCTCTTCCTGTCTATGGTGCTTAGGGATCTACCACCAACCTCACCTGGCAGGTTCCCAGAGCTACTTTGTTCCTGCCAAGTCCAACCTGCTCTGTGTCAATATTGACCCAGGTGGAGGAGTGGTCCTGGGAAAACCCACCCCTCCCAGCCTCCCTCAGGTACCCTGGGTCCCACTCCCTAGTGGTGTCCTGGTCTTATCCCAGGCCTTCCAAGGTACTTCCTCCCCAGGAGACCCTCCTGAGGGACAAGGAGGGGGAGCGGGAACTGCCGACTGGGGTTCTGGAGCCGGCTGCCTGCAGACATCCTGGGCCCTAGCTCTGCAGTGGAGCAGCAAGGGGCCCACGGGAGGGGGGCTGCAGGTTGTGGGAGGAGCAGTGACTCAGTCCCCAGAGCGGGACCACCAAGGAACAATACTGTGGGAATCCCAGGGTGTTCAGAACAGACCAAAGGCTGGCCCTTGGCCCCTGCAAGGGGGTGTCACTCACTTGTCCATGTGACAAGGGGTGTGTGGTATTGCCTGGCAGCACACCCAACAGACAGGCTTGGGTCAGAACAGTCACCCGCCCTTGTACAGGAGGTTCCACAGCTGGGTTCTGTTCCTGGGCAGTGTGACCAGGGCTCAGATGTGCAGTGGAAATCTGCCCTGCTCTCCATCTCGTGTGACAGCACAGTGCTGTCAGAACCAGGGCTCTCATCAGGCCCCTTCCTCATTTTCACTTTGGGAGAAGCTCCAGGTGCCCAGGTGAGGCTTTCTCTACTTTTCCGGATTTCCCTAATTCTTAGCAATGAACATGTATGACCTTTTAGGGAAAGCAACCCAGGCCGTTCCCCATGCCCATAGATCCTTTGCCATAGCTGGGCATCAGGCCTGGAAGTTTTAGGCAACTTGCTTTTCCTCCATAGCATTACTGCAACTCTGGTCCTCTGAGGGGCTTAAAATAAGCACAGTGCAAGTGCTGGCCCTCAGAAATTTGAATTTAAGTGGTTGGGATCTGAATCTTTAAGAGCTCCAGTGATATTGTGTGTGTGTGTGTGTGTGTGTGTGTGTGTGTGTGTGTGAGAGAGAGAGAGAGAGAGAGAGAGAGAGAGAGAGAGAGAGAGAGATGCTAGGGATGGAACCCACCATCTGGTGATTCTAACATGCAGCCAGAGTTAGAGCTTTAAAGGAGGTTTGGGTGGAAAGCTCTGGGGCCCATTTCCATTTGTCCTCCATCTGACAGCTTGGGGTCCAGATCAGGCTGGCTGGCTGGCTGTACTAGTGGGTGGCCCTGGGCCTCCAGCGGCCTCTTGATCCACAGCTGTGTATGGCACGGGATTACCACACAAGCATCCCTGATGAACCT